GAAGGAGTTAGCAAGAATGGATCTACTAAAAGTAGTATCTTCTAAATCTTCTTTTAAAGGCTGAAAATAGGTGGAATAACTTAGACACCTGTGGCCAGGAAAATGTGATCTGCTTTCAATAAAAACAGACGGTAGAAAGAGAGGTTGCTTGCAGTAATAACAGGAAATTGGTTTGCTAGACAAACGCGCAAGAGGATTTGAGCTTCCATTTCAATGAATACTGTCGCAGTTGCAACGACTGCGAAAAGCATAATTCGGTCTCCACATTGCTCTTCTCTCATTGCTTTCTAATGCACTTGTTTGATGTACGTTTCATTTAGCTTCAATAGACTTCTAGCTTTATCATCATCTGAGACTATCCAAAGAAACTTTCACTTAAAGTTACTTACGTGTTCTAGTTTGGAAAATTGATTCTTCTTTGTCCAATTATATCCCTTAGTTTAAGAAGGGTGTGTGAGTTAAATAATATATAAAGCAAATATCTTAGAAATTACCTCGTTTCATGCTTCTCCTTTGAAGCAAACCTTCAAACAATCCCTTGAATAGCACTTTGTTGATGGTTTTTGGTTGTATCTCACCAAGACTTGGGATAAAACATTGGCATTCAAAATCCCAAAGAGTCAAAAGGTCAAGATGACTGATTACCCAATTGCGAAACTTATTGAGCAAGTGATCGATTGTTATATGTAAAAATATCACTGTAACGATCGACCCTCTAATTACACTCAGTGTCATAGTTTTCATTTTAAGACATTACATCTTCTCCTCCCAACGGGCAACTCTGTTACACGATCATAATTATTGCCTAAAAAACTACAGCTGATCATGATGGCATACCAATGTTTCTTCTAGCATTAACCTGGCTACTGATATTGATAATGACGTCGCTGTTAATGATAATAATGACGATGATGATGGGAAAGAATTTTAAGATATTCTAGAACCTGTTATAAATACTTACTTTGAAAAATAAAAGACTCTCATACACAATCAATCGTAACCAACACAACACAACTTATAAATACTCTCGTACACACAAGTGTACACTTGTTGTCTCGTACACTTGTTGCAATTGTTGCTGGTGGTTGTTGTTGTTGTTCTTATTGTTGTTGTATTTGTACGTCAACAACGTAATACTCTACAACTTGATTTACAACAAAATCTTAAAAAAAAATAAAAATAAAATTGTACATACTTATGTAAGCAAGTGATCGTGAATTTTCATTTTCAATCAAATACAGAACGTTATTTGTTTCGGTTTGTTGTTGTTGTTGTTTTTTGTTTAGTTTTTGTTACTGTGTTGTTGGTTTTCGTCGTTTTCGTTCATATTCCAGATGGTTATACGAACCATATACACCCATCATGTTGTGATTGCTGTTGTTGTAGTAGTTGACGGTATTTTTTGTTTGTTTTTGTTTTTATTTTGCAAAAACCGCTATTCGAACGTTACTTAAAATTCTATACAGTATTTCTTATCACTCTTACTCTCTTTAGCGCACAACGACATTCAAACACAATTGTTTGCGCTGCTCTTTATTTAGAAAATGACAAACTCGTTCTCTCTCTTCCATGACTATCTCACTGTTTTGAATAGATAGAGAGCTAGTTTTAGCAAGTGCCAAGTATAAGCTGCCAGATGCTTCAGATGGTGATCAAAAGTGATGATTTCTATATAAATTGTTTGAGTCAATCATATAAGTTGAACACAAGACAAATTCGCTATTCCAACTGACTCCTTAGTTTAATTTTCCAGTTGAAAGTCGAGTTATGTTGAGAGAGAGCATCGCTTTAGCTTATAGTGCTCTTTGGGTGATCCAATTAGACGATTATAAATCATAATAAAGATTGGGCAAAAACTATTTTGGAAAGAAGTGATGCACCATTGTGCTTATGATCCATTTTACTAAGATCCATTTGTAGCAACATTAGCGCACAGCCAAAAATATTTGGAGATCTTGATTTTGACAATAAGGAACTCAATTCCAACACACAACAAATGTATTATTTGATCATTAAAAATAGCTATAGCGAAGACTATTTGCAAAACCGTTTAAATCACAAGTCAAAATCACAAAAGTGGCTGATTGAATGAAGAAGATCTATCTATTGGTCATATTTTCGAAAATGATATGCTGAAAAACATTTGAAGTCAAATTTTGAAATAAGATCCAGGCATCTGAATCTGGAGCAGGGACAAGGAGACATTAACAGAAACATATAAGGCAATTGGTAGTTCGTTGTCTCCTTAAGTACACAGTCCCCATAAGAATCCCTTTCCTCAGTGAAATGGCAAGTATAATAATGTGAAGCACATCAATTACAGGAGGGAACCAGAATTATGTCTGCGGTCTAGAGAATTCCAAAGCTTGATGAAAGATCCCTTCTTGATACAACCTGTCAAACTCTCGTTATTATATTTATGACAAATACATCGAAGTAGCCATCCCAACGATCCCACAAAAAAGACAGTGAATGATGTGAACGATAGCATAACTAAGCTATCGATAAGCAAGAAAATTACTATTTGGGAAACAGAGGAAGAATGTTTAAGAAGATGTTCCACAAAACCATTTTCAGTCTATCCCAGCAAATTCTTACTCAATATCTGAAGTGGACTCTTTCTTAATACATTAAGCAGTTAAGACTCTCTAGGAGATGAATACTTAAACCCTTAAGGGAAAAGGGTCACTTGGACTCCATTGCGAACAGTGCTCCAGGTTTGCCGAGGTTTGTAGTTGAAGGGAGCTCTAGGCTCTAGACATTTTTTGAAAACTTCTCCGTTTGAGGACCTAAGTGGCATTTTAAACTCATTTCTTGGTGCCTTTTATCCGTTTTCACTATCTAGCTCCTTCTTCTACGTTTTATGGTCCTTTATGAGAAACCCAACCTTACGTTTGCGGTTGATTTGGCTGATGATTCGTTGCTCGGCTTTGTCTCACTTACCCGCAGGATTCTGACTCCTTTTGCTGTATATTAGGGAGACTCTTTTACTTCTTGATTTGTTCTCACTTCAGATATTGCGCAAGTGTTCGTCATATCCTTCCTGGGATAGAATGAATATGATTTTCTGAAACAACTTATTCCAGTTTCCTCCTTTGTTTCCAGGACAGCTATATTCCTAGTTATCGATAGCTTAGCTATGCAATCATTCACATCCTTCACTACTTTATTTGGTATGATGATACTGTTATCATCTGAAGATTAACAGTTGAAACCCTCACCTGTTTAAAGGCTGAGATTCCCTTACATCCTTCACTTTCACCTCTACAAACCTGGAGCACTGACCTTTTTTCTTTAAGGGTTTGTTTTAAGTATTCATCTCCTAGAGAGTCTTAACCGCTTAATGTATTGAGAAAGAGTCCACTTCAGATATTGAGTAAGAATTTGCTGAGATAGACTGAAAATGGTTTTGTGGAACATCTTCTCCAACATTCTTCCTCTGTTTCCCAAATAATAGTTTTCTTGCTTATCGATAGCTTAGTTATGCTATCATTCACATCCTTCACTTCATCATTTTAAGGAATTGGTATGATGGTCCTGTTATTGCCATCTGAAGATTCACAGTTGAAACTCTCACCTGAATTTAAAAGTTGAGATTGCCTATAACTCCTATCAATTACATTCTTCTCTTTCATCTCTACATTTTTCTCAATGCATGTTGTACCCTTGGAGCATTGTCCGCAACCAAGTCCAAGTGATCGTTTTTCTTCTTCAGTTTGTTCTAAGTATCCATCTCCTAGAAAGATCTGATATTATTCACTTCAGATAATGAGAAATAGTCCGTCATATTTTTTGGAGTTTCCTGGGATATAATGTTCGGTACATTTTCTTTCCTCCTCTGTTTCCCAGATAGCTGTTGGTTATCGATAGTTAAGCAATGCTTTCATTCACATCCTTCACTTTATCGTTTTAAGGATTTGGTGTGATTGTTCTGTTGTTTCTTCTGAAGATTCACAGTCGTAACTTTCACTTGAATCTAAAAACTGAGATTGCCTAGAACTCCCTCCAATTCTTCTCTTTCCTTGCATATTTTTCCCAATGCATGTCGCATTGTGCGCAACGGAGTCCAATATGATTTTGAGCATCTTCTTTCCTACTCTGTTTCATATCCTTCACTCCATCATTTTAAGAATTTAGAATGATGGTGCTGTTATTATCATCGGAAACTATCACCTGAATTTAAAAGCTGATATTGCCTAGAACTCCCTCCGATTACATTCTTCTCTTTCACCTCTACATTTTTGGCAATGGAATACTGTACACTTGTAACATTATCTGCAACGGAGGACAAGTAGTCTTTTTTCTCATGATCTTAGGATGACGACGACTTTTCCACGATTTGTTTTTGGGAAACACTTCCATATTTATTCAGATTCGCGGATATTTTTTATTCCCCAACTGGTCATAAACATTCGTAATTCTCTGGCAACATGGCTACAACTGGAAAAAAATACAGCTGCTTAGAAAACAACAACAACATTTTATTTTTTATAAATTTTTTTATATTCTTCCATTAACAACAAACACTAAATTTATATGTTTAATAAAACAGCTGTTTAACAACAGAGTTTTTTCAAACGTTTTGTGAACACCGCAGAATGACAACAATTTCATTCAGTCTCAATGACTAACTGCTGCATGCTGACGAAGTTGATGACGAAGGTAATGCATATGACCAATCGATTAAAGTTTATCGATCAATGGGATGAGAGTAGAGATAATCAAAACAATAACGAAAAAACATACCAAGTGACCGATCAACAAACACTAAAGAGTTAAACAGCAAAACAACAACCAGTCAGTCATGCGATCGATCGACCGACCGACCGATCGACAACACTTTTCAATAAGATTGTAGAAGTTGTTTTTGTTGTTTTGCTGCTGCTTGTTGTAGTTTTAATTTTCAGTATTAAACGGCGCCAAACCTACAATCGCCAAACACAACATATTTTTTTTAGTCTTCTTCTCGTGGCCTCTGTTGAACGAACGTTCATACTTGCAGATCGGTTGTTAGGTTAGTTGGTTTGTTGGGTGTGTTTGTTTGTTGGTTTGTTTATTTCACTGGTTCGTTGTTGTTTGGTTGGTTGGGTAGGTTGATGGGTAGGTCGGTCGGTCGGTTGGTCGTTTGATCATTAGGTATCTCTACTGCTACTACAAGTATTACTACGATTTCGTGATTACGATTCATACATACAGTGGAGTAAGTGAGTGTTGTTGCTGGTGTTTCGTTTGTTATTGTATTTTTTTTTTGTACAATTTTTTGTTATTAAGTATATTATTTGTTGTTGATTTTTATTTTCAATCGTACAAACTCATAGATACTTACACATACGCACACCTCAACATGAATATATTTTGTTTAGTATTTGTCTTACATCCACGACAAACTGTTGTTGATTGACGGACAAACGAATGGGCAAGCTCGTTCGCTCGCTTGCTCACTTTTACGATCACTCTCATTTAATTCGTTTTATTGACTTGACTCAAATCGCGTAGTATGTGTTAAATCGTCGCTCATTTAGCTCGTTTCGTTCAAATGTTCGCATTGTGGCATTAGTCTTTGACGAAAGCGGATACGGATACGTTCATACGCGGTTTCCAAAACGGTTAAAATAAAGCGTTTTTTTTCAAAAAAAATTCCTTTTTTTTTACAACATTTCTCAAGCTCACACACATAAAAACGCTTGTAAAGTTTTCATTCATTGTTGTTTTACTCCTTTAAATTGTGTTGCGTAGTGTAAACGTTTGCACCAAACTATTTGCGGCTTAATTGTGATTAATTGAAAGAAATTCTTTAAGAATTTAAAAAAAATCTTGTTTAATAAAAAATATATTATTTAATACAATTGTGTTGTTTATTTGTTAAAAACAAATAATTTTTTTATTGGAAAAAAAGAACAGTGCCATATTTTATATGTGATTTATTAACAATTCCTTAAAGGAATTTAAAAATTATTAAAAATAATATTACAATTTTTTATCAAGAGTTTAATAGCACTAACCAATGCTATTTTGTGGATTAAATATTAATATTTTTCCTGTGGAGTTATAAAGAAAAAGGTAGGTTTAGATTTTTTATAAAAATATAAAATTTTTCAAAAATTAAAAATAAATTATTTAAATTTGTTAACGTTTTTTTTGCAAATTTTTTTTTATAAAATTGTAATCAAATATTTTCGGCAAAGTTTATAAACTATACAAATAAATATTTAAACAAAACTTTTTATTGTAAACTTTAATAGAATGATGAAATCGTTTTATTAATTTCGTAAATTCTATTAAGAAGTTTTTACAATAAAAATAATTCAATGTTTAGTTTGCTAATAACTTCAGCACAGCTTGAAAAATTTTCCAAAATTTGAATTCAATATTTTTATGTAAAATAAATAAATCTTATCTAAAGGAAATATTAAATTTTTTATTAAATTTTTACACCTTTCAACAGACAGACGGACGGACATGGCTAGATCGTAATAAGGATCTAGAATATACTTTTGTGGTTCTATGATCAATATTTAGGTTTAATTTTTTTTTTAATTTATTACGATCTCTAGATGTAGCTTTAATCTATGACCAGATAAGATCTGCGTTAACAAACTTTATTTCACTCGTCGCCAAACTTCTACGACAGGATCCTCTGGGTATAACTCGACACAGAGCTCCCTGAGGGTTTCAGTATAGAGTTTGGCTGGCCATATTATTTGTGGGTTTCCATTTCCTGCTGGTAATATTCTTTACAATTGCTATTTCTTTGCACCTTCTATGTAGTAAGGAGTTAATGTTCCTGTTGTGGGGCCACCATATATCCATAATATTCCTTAAACAGCGGATCTTAAAGCAATTATTATATTTAAACTATTTATTGAAAGATTAAATTTTGAATCTATCCTCATAAAATTTGATAGAGCGATTTAGGTTTATTTTAAACTAGTCCGATGTCATCGCAATATTTATAGTTTCTTAAGCGTATATTACTTGGGGGAGAGGACTAACTTTAGCACAATTTCTGATTGATTAAGAGGGGCACAAAGTACTGCGACTTGAGTTAAGATCTTTTGTGCAGCCTTGATCGAAGGTTTCATCCTGCAGGTTACCGAATCTATATAACCTCATCACATTGTTGTCAAGAATGTTCTGGTGATATCTAAGTCCACAGTGTCCGGTATAAAGCTCCGTTAGTAATCTTAGGTACCCAGCATAGTGTCAGTTTAGTATGTCTACCCAGTTCATTAAAATATGTCAAGTAGTCAAGTATAACAAAAAAACTGATTTAATATTATAGTGGAACCTTAAGAGACGCCCACAAAATTCTTTAATCCCCTCTTAATACTCAACGATAGTTTCCTTTACAAATTTTCTTACAAATTCAAATCAATGTTCGTTCCTAAGAGATCAAATATATGGAATTACATAGCTCCCTAGATATTTGGATCTAATTTCGACGAAAGCCCGGCAAATATAGAGAAAGTGTTTCAGCCTTTAACTGCTCTCTCCGCATGCTCTACATTCGTTTCATTCCGTTTGTCCAAAACAGTATAAAGCACCAAAAGATACGGGTTGCTGTGCTCTTCTTTTCACGGAAAATTTTGTTAAAAAAAGCTTATAGGCAGTGTTCAAGAGAGGCGGAATATCTGGAATTACATAGCTCCCAATATATTTGGATCTAATTTCGAGGAAAGCCTTGTAATTACAAGGAAAGTGTTCCAGTATTGCCCTCTCCGCATGCTCTATATTTAACTGAATCCGTTCTTCTAATTTTATCCATAAACCAGTTTATCCACCATCATACCAACCACTGACTTGTTCATTATTTTCACCCATCTTTTAATCCTTATTACGTCCAACGGTTTTGTATTCCTCGGGTTAACTTCATAAAGCTCCCTTAGCATTATAGGAAGTACTTCCTCATTGCCATATAGTCAAGAGGCCTGATATTCATATGGTGCATAGCTTACCACTGGAAGAGTATTCGGTTATGGCTCTCTTACAGTCCAAACGGTAGCAGTTTTATCGGCTTATATCGCCCTAATTTCCATCGCGTTGTTGAAAAATATGTTGACCTCTTTTGGCATTACATGTAATATAATCTATTTTACTTTCTCGTAAAAGTTAGATTACGGATTAGAAAGACACGTTTTTATGTTATCAATGTTGAACCCCAGAGCCGGCAGATCTCCCTATTTAAAGTCATCCGTGTAACAACATATTCCCTTAAGAGTTTACTCAGATGATAGCCTTAGCCACAATATATAATCTGATAACAATATCTCACAGTTCCCGCCAATTGCTTTTTCGATTTGCGATCCGGAACGTCTGGTGTTTGTGTATAAACGTCCAATATTTAATTCTTATTACGTCTAAGATCCATAAGGTCCCTTTCCTTTATAACAAGTACTTCTTCATTGTCGATTTATAGCCAAGTGACCTGGTATTCATAGAGCTTTATACTAGAGCTTTATACTAGAAGAGTATTCGGTTATGACTCCCTTACAGTCCAAAGAGGTAGTAGTTTTCTCAGCTAATATCTAATTGTCATCGGGTTGTCAAAAAATATGTTAACTTCCATTGGCGTTACAGGCAATCTAAACTTTTTTACTTTCCCTGGAAGCTAGTGTTGTTATTATTAAGACGGATTTCTAGGTTATCAATGTAGATCCTTAGTACCGCGCGATCTCCCCTGTTTAGAGCCATTCGTGCAGATTCAATCAGGGATTTATTCACTCAGATGATCTGATATCTGGTAAAAATATATCACAGTTCCCGCCAATAACTTTTTCGATATACTATCGGGAACGAACCGTGTTTCTTTTTTGATCTGTCTAGTAATCGGCGTAAACACGAAAAATTATATCTCCATATATTTCTGATACTAGTCGATATTACCGTCTGTGATCAAAGAATAATAGAATCTAGAGTGGAGAAGCTAGGTATAAAAGCGTATATACAGAATTGTTTCCAAAATGGACCTCCTTCGTTCTATAGTCCATCATATACAATGCATTAGGACTTAAATCTTTCTCTTTGATGATAACGTATCAATCATAGACCTAGCAGTGGAAAAAGGCTTTGGGAGTTTGAATACATGGGATCTTTTCGTGGAGGGAATTTCTAAAACTGCACTACCACTAAAATTGCAATTCTAATAATATTTTTAATTTTAATTAAACGTAATTAAGAATTTGTATAAATTTTTTATATGATCACATGGTATGCATGCTCTATTTGTATTTTTCAGGCGAAATTTTAAACAAATATTATACAAGTATTTTGTTTTTAAAACACTTATCGATGAAATTTCTACGAAAATTAAAAAAAAGAACATCTTTTAAAAATAGCACGTTATTTTATTTTTAAATTGTTTATTTTGTAGATTAGGTTCAATGACCGTTTAATAAATTTAACAAAAAAAAAATATTGTTTACATTTTAATAAAAAATAAACATGATCGCATATTTGAGCAAAATTTTTAAAAAGGGATTTCCCTAATAAGCGGTTTCGGGGAGAGATTTAAAGGCCATATTTGGAGTGTAATATGTGAAAGAAAGATTTTTTTCGTTTTCCCTTTCGATTAGAAAGAAAACATAAAAAAATTTCTATTAATAGTTTGAGAACAGATTACGTCAACTCCACAAATAGCTAAACAGTTTTAAACCACTATCGATTTTTTTCTGCTTAAATTAAAATATTATAACTTTTATAGAGAGTATTGAAAAGAGGTCAACCAACGCTATTAGATTCTTCTCTATTGTTTTATTAAGAAGCTGAAACTTCTAGTCAGAAATTTTGCAAACTATATTTTAGATTAGCAAACACGTGCCATTATAATTTAAATAATCATTTAAACCATAATAAAAATAAATTAAGTTTCTCTATTGTAGTTTTAAATGTAGCATTTAGTATTATGATAAGAAGATCATTAACTATATAACGATCGTAAAGTTTGTAATATTTATAAATGTTAAAGAATAGTTTTAAAGTAAAGCCATCCCTCCCTTATCAGTGTGAGATTTCCAAAATTTCAACATTTAATCTCTGGCGATCTATATGTAGATCTATTGTTCATCCGATCTAGATGTCGATCGTTAAGTTTGTTACATTAATATAATCTAATTAGAATACATTTGCTATAAACTCCGAAACCCAATCAATGCCAAACCGATCATTATAAATTCTTATAATTTTGCATAAAAACAGATCAAGATATGTAGATCAGATAGTTTTCTATTAATAATGCGGTAATTTGAAAATGTATTAATTTAGAAAAGTGATCATTATTAAAATTTTTTATTATCGTAAAGTTTTCTATATAGAAAACTGAAAAATCAAACGAACTCAAAGAACATAAAAGTCGTACGATCGTTATATTTGACTTATGTTTCTTAATTTGAAGTAATTTTGAAATTTAGATGAATCTAGCGGGATCATTCTTATAATTTTCTATAGAAACAGATCAATTTTATAAATTTCTATAGGAAATTGATCATATTGAAATCTTTTTATAGAAAATTGATGGATTGTTTTTAAGAAACTGTTATTATACTGAAAACCGCTAAATTTTTACAAAATATCAGTACACACATTTATTTTCAATTAATAGGATCGTACGACCTCGTACGATAGTGATCTTTGAGTAAGATTTGGCTTTTTTGTTAATTTGAAAGAAGATCTAACTGTTTTTTGAAGAGAACTGATCAATTTTTAAAAATATTATAGAAAACTGCACGATCTTACATGTTTAATAAGAAACTAAGCGATCGTAAGTTTTTCTACAGAAAACTGAACAATTATTATTAACCGATTAAACGATCATACAAACTTGATTAGCAATTTGGTCATGAGATCTTAAAATCTGACCGCGATTATTGTATCGATCAAGTTCAATGTTTTCTATAAAAACAATTTACAAATTTCTCTAAGAAACTGATCATGTTTTAATAGAAAATTTATTGATTATTTATAGAAAACTCGTACTCTATTTATTTTTCGCCTAAAGGACAGTACGATCTCGTACGATCGTGAACTTTGAGCAAAATTAGGCTTCTTCCTTACTTTGAAGGATC